TTCTCTTTTTTGTTTTCCATTGATGTGGAATATCTTTTTTACATCACTGTATATTCAGTTTATGTATGTCTTTATAGATGAAATTGTTTCTTGTAGGCAACAGATCATGGGGTCTTTTTTAAAATCCATTCATCCACTCTATGTCTTTTGATTGGAGAATTTAGTCCATTTTCATTCAACAGTATTATTGATAAGTAAAGACTTACTCCTGCCATTTTGTTGTTAGTTATCTGATTATTTTGTGGTCCTCTTTCTTTTCTGCCCTCCTGCCTTCTTTTCAGGGAAGATTTTCTCTAGTGGTATGATTTAATTGATAGCTTTTTATTTTTTATGTATCCATTGTATAATATGTTTTATAATTTGTCTCATCATTGTAAAAAAACTTCTTGGTGAGTGTATACATTGGTCTCTTCAAATACATTTTGTGTGTTGTATCACATTTTTGTTCTTTTTGGTACAAATACTAAAAATGGAAACATGTCCATTTTGTACATCTGCAATTGTTATTCAGCATAGCATCTTTACCAAAAAAAAAGACACAAAATTAAATAATGTAAAAATCAGTCAATGTACTTATAGGTCTGAGACAAGGTTGAGGTACAAAAACTAAGAGTCATTTGCTTTCAGGATCATTCAAATGCCACGATAGAGAAGCTTCCTATCTCACTGTGCTCCTCACCTGCATATATTGAAGCAGACCTGTAGAAAATTAATTATTTTTATTAATTCACTAAAAAATAATTTTAATCTTTTCTGAGAAAATACTCATGCTTGACCTAACAAAATGAAGACTATAGATCAGTATTCCTTTTAATACAGTCATTACACATAGAGCAAAGTATACACCATATTGATGTGTAGCAAACACTAAAATACAGATGTACATAAAAGTAGAAAACCTCTCAGAAATTATGACTTAGCTACAGAAATCAAATTCCTCTGTGTCATGGTCCATGAGCATGAAAATTCAATATCTTAAAGATGAACTGAGGGCATCATCAATTTGAATAAATGCAAACAATTTGTGCCAGAAGACTACAGAATCAAAAGCAAAATGGATCAAACTCAAGCTCTACTGATTAAAAATCACAGGTTCATTCTTCTTTTAATTTTGATCATCATTATAACATTATAATCATTAGAAACAAAATTACAGAGGAGGAAAAGGACTTATAGTTGAAAAGAAAAATATCATATATAAGCAAATGCAACTTATTAGCCCCATCTCTAAAATATATCCATAAATTGGAAGGAGCATTACCAACCAGGTAAAAACAAGCCAACTCAGAAATTGGGTTAAGGAGAGACAAATCTACTGTCTGTTACTGACTTCAGTAATTTTTTTCAAGACATTAACCTCTTCAATTGATACCATTTAATTCATCCTTATTTTGCTATAGATAATGCCAGTAAGTGTACATAAAATGAACACACACACACACACACACACTTGATAACAAAGAATCTGGAATTTTGGCACATCCTAAATATTTACTTAAATTTTTCTATTTTGTTTCTCAGCTGCAGGATCCTAATATAGCTTTGTTAGTAAGGGTTCTCCAAAGGGGCAGAACAAATAGAATATATGTATATATAAAAGGGAATTTATTAGGGAGAATTGGCTCACATGCTTACAAGGTGAAGTCTCACGATAGGCCATCTGTAAGCTGGGGAAGAGAGAAGCCAGTAGTAACACAGTCTGGAAGCCTTCAAACCAGGGAAGCCAGCAGGGAAGCTTTTATGCCCTAGAGCCACTGGTAAGCTGCTGCTACAAGTCTCAGAGCCCAAAGGCCAAAGAACCTGTAGTCTGTTGTCCAAGGGCAGGAAGAACAGAAGCAAGCATCCAGCACGGGAAGAAGAAAGGTACAAGACTCAGCAAGCAAGTTTATCGCTCTTCTGCCTTCTTTCTTCTAGCCATGCTGGCAGCCAACTGAATAGTGCCTACCCACATTGAGGGTAGGTCTTCCTCTCTCAGTCCACTGACTTAAATGTCAGTCTCCTCTGGAAACACCGTTATAGACACAACCAAAAACAATGCTTTACCAACCATGTAGGCATCCCTCAACTCAATCAAGTTGACACCTAATATTAATCATCATACTACCTATAATTGGATATTTTTTAATGCCTGACAAGCTGTTGAGAACAGTCACATAAGCAGTTTCTCTCTTCCTTAATAGGATTTCAGAAACTTCGTTAATTTGACATGATGTATTTTTAAAGCTCATTTATGTCTATACAAAGATAGTTGATTTTATATTTATTTCTGAAATTTGCAAACACCTAGGAACTTTTGCATGTTCATTCAAAGTCCAATAATGAAACTAAGTCAGAATAATTAAGCTTATCTCTAGAGGTGGTTTTTACATAACTAATTGAATGTATATGAAGTAAAGTTGTTACAGGCACCCAAAGACTCTGGACCTATTAATATGGGAAGTCCCATCAGTTTATTACTTCCATGCCTAAAAGGAAAGTAGTATCAATTAATTAAGATACGGGTCTGCATAACAATCATTTCTACATTAGCACATTTGATAACTCAGTCATTCAGGTATTATTTCCCTGCCAATTGTTATGGATATTTGGCTATTTAAAATATTAATTATCTTTGCCTTGTGGGATTCATAGACAGTTCCCAATAGAAGAACATAATGCTTGTGTACCAGTTGGGATGTGACTATTGAAGAGAGACACATCATTTTTATTTGTGGACCTCCCTGGGTCTCAGTTTCTTTATCTAAAAAAAATGAATGTTGTATTAGTTTTGGAAGTTGTGTAATAAATTACCACTAACTTAGAAGCCTAAAACCACTCATTTGTTATCTCACAGTTCTGTAGATTAGAAGTCCAGGTAGGCTTGGCTGGGTTTATTATTTAGGGTCTCACAGGCTAAACTCAATATATTGGCCATGCTGGCTTTTATCTGGAGTCTATAGAGAATATGCTTCCAATGTCATTCAGGTTATGGGTAAAACTTAGTTCCTGAGGTCCCCATTTTCTTTTTATTTTCTTTCTCTCTCTTGTTTCCTTCTTTCCTTCCTTCCTTCCTTCCTTCCTTCTTCCTTCCTTCTTCCTTCCTTCCTTCCTTCCTTCCTTCCTTCCTTCCTTTCTTTCTTTCTTTCTTTCTTTCTTTCTTTCTTTCTTTCTTTCTCTTTCTTTCTTTCTTTTTTTCTTTCTCTTTCTTTCTCTCTTTCTTTTTGATGGAATCTTGCTCTCTTGCTCAGGCTGGAGTGTAGCATCGTGATCTCAGCTCACTGCAAACTCCACCTCCAGAGTTCAAGTGATCCTCCTCCCTCAGCCTCCCAATTAGCTAGGATTACAACCTGGTGCCACCTCGCCTGGCTAATTTTTGTATTTTTAGTAGAGATGGGATTTCACCATGTTGGCCAGGCTGGTCTTGAACTCCTGACCTCAAGTTATCCACCCACCTCAGCTTCCCAAAGTGCTGGGATTACCAGCATGAGCCATCACACCCAACCAAGATCCCAGTTTTCTTACTGGTCATCAGCAAGAGGCCATTCTCTTAATTTCTAGAGACCACTTTATGTCCTTGATTCATGAACTCCCCCACCCCGTGTCAACAATGGAGAAACCTTCTGCATGAATTCCTCTCATACTTCCAGTCTCTCTGACATCCTATTCTCTACCAGCTAGAAAAGAAATACTGTTTTTAAAGGGCTCATGTAAATAGGGTAGGCCGACTGAGTAGATTTTCTTTTTGATGAATGTGAAGTCGACTGGTAAGTGACTTAATTTCAGGTGCAAAATTCCTTTTGCCACTCAGTGTAACACAATCACAGGCATCTCATCATCGTCATAATCCCAGAGACTAGAATGGGTGTCTTATGGGTTTTGAGGAGCATTTTAGAATTCTGTCACAAAGGGATTGGATAAAAATGATCTACTTAGTTCTCAATATTCTCATTTTAATCAATCTTGTCTCTGGAAGTAAAGTGGACTCTGGATAATCCATTATAAGTACCAATAATTTTTGGGGGTCTTCCCTTTTATTTCTTTCTCAAGTGAAGAAGCAAAAAATAAAATATACCATTCTATGTTCTCTATGTTAAGGAGATATTTAGTTCTTCAGATAACTCTGCAAGAGGTAAGATGAGTACATTACTAATGAACAGAAATTTCAGCCCTACCAAAAAGATAAGGCTGCCATTTCACAAATAAACTAAGTCTGTGAAATAATTATTATTCACAATAAGTGAAACAGGAAAGGAGAAGCATTCCATTTGCATTAAGCATGGTGTTAGTCACATTCGTCTGTGGTCCCATGATTTTGTCTATATCTGTAGATGTTTAGACAAAATATATCTACAGTTATATGCTGTAGATGTTTGTATATCTACAGCACATATCGCATAGTAGGTTGGGTAATTAATGTTTTGTGAGTGGGATGCTAAACGCCATGATATCTGTGAACATGTAGTTTTTATTAGAAAAACATGAATATACTTGGTATATTTTTGTAGAAATACCTAGGCAGAGCATAGAATCATGCATTTTGCAATATGGTTTGGGATACTTAATTATCTGTAAAATATGAGTTTCCCTGGTAACAATCTTTAATCAAAATTGATAAAATTGTTTTAAATGAACAGATTTATCATGGATTTTTAAACGTATTTTAATTTTTGAAATTCTAATACTATACAACATTTTTGTTTAAAACATACGTTATTACTGTCATTTTTTCCCATTGATATATTTATTTTCAGTATTTTCTCTAAGTTTTCCTGTCATTTTCATTTAGTGTCCTATAATTATGATAGATAACAAGTTAAAAGAAATTATTGCTATTATTATTATTTAATTTTAACATGGAACTAGGGGTCGTTATTCTAAATAAAATTAAATTATTATCAGTATTATTATCAGAAAGAACTTTTACATAGTTTTATGAATTTAACCACTATACTTATAATACTTTTTTTCAGTGTGAAGAAAAAAAAAACTGTTGATTTTTCCATGTTTTAAACTTTCAGTCTTAACAAAGTTAATGGTGATTGGTCTTGGTGGTTCCTAGTAATAAGTCCTGTCTTATTTTTTCACATAGTATAAATTATATTCTTATGCAGGATTGCATTAAAATCCAGGAGTTCTTAATGTTACCAAATAACCACATAAATCCCAAATGCAGCAAAGGTCAACAATCTTCATAGTGTGTTTTCACCTCCATGAAGTTGAAGCTGCTCCTTTTGGATATTTTTCTACTTCAATGTGAAGTAGATTGTTGGGGGTTCATTAGTGGTTTCATTATGTGGCTTTTTAAGAGAAAAAATAGATTTGATTTCTTCCACAGTTCACAGTTCTCAGACCAGACTTTTTTTTTTTTTGTAAATTATGTAGTTCAGGGATGTTTTGAAAAACCAAATGCTCATTAGTAGATGAAATCTCTCAATGTTACTGGAATAAATAAGCATCTACGTCCTTAGCTATATTACCAGTATATCCTGGAACCAAAGTAAGATGGCTTTCCTGGTCCCATAATCCATTTAATTGGTGTTTTAAAATCTGCGTATTTCCATCATTTATAATTTCTGTTTTGGATGATAGTCCTGACCACCACCTTTTAGTGACTGCTGGAAGCCAGTTTAAACCAACTATGACATATTCTTCAAATGTGCTTTTAAGTAGTGACTTTACTAGAGCCAACAAGTCTACACAGTAGCAAAGTGAGATATATTGTTTTTCTTCCTGTAAACTATTGGTGTGCACAGGAAGGCACTCTACTACAACGCCAAGATCTTCTATCCTCAACAAATAATCTGCAAGTCCACTTATACTTCTCTTTCTCCAGAAAGTTAAAGCTACATTCAATCTCAAATTCCTGCTGAACAAAACTTGGGCCATTGTTTCATGGTCCTGAGAAACCTCAGGAAAAAACCTACTGTGTTTTAATGATAGGCTTTCTCTTGGTGAAGAACCGGAATCACTGGAGTTAACTAAGTATGTTCGACTATCCTGGTGTAGTTTTTCAGCCCGGTGGCCTGCACAAGCCAGTTCATTTTCTTTATTTGCCATGTTACAGCCCCCACTTCCAGGGACCTTTCTGGGATAGATCACTTTACACAGTTTATCTGGTCTTTTCACAGTTTGTCCAACTGTTCTATTTATGTAAGCAGCCAACTGTTTTGGGGATTTCTTAACCTCCTTCATGTTCTTATTAGTGAAATCACAGATCTTTTTTCTAGTAAGATCAATGAAATGATCCTCAATCTTATTACGAAAGTTCCGTTTTTTAACATTGTGGGTTTCCGATGCCATAATCTCTTAAGCACCCGCGCCTCATGGTACCGCGGCGCCTCTGCCCAGCCCTGTCGCTTACGATCCCCCTGGCAGCCCAGAGTGTCCCTCGGCTTGGGCTGAGTCCCACTCAGGGCCATTCAAACGCAGCCGCGCAAGGGTCCCGCAGGGATATCTGTATCTTTTTATCCCGCAGGGATATCTGTATCTTTTTATCCCGCAGGGATATCTGACTTTTAAAAAGTCAGATACTTTTTAACTGACCAAGAATATAGAAACAGAAAGCACTATTAAAATAATGAAATTCAATTTTATAAAGCAATAATTTTAAGGAAGTGGCTATACTTATCACAGAGTGATTCATGAACAGTGAATTTTTAGGTAGTAATATCTGTTCCAGTTCTGGGAACAATCTTAAACCATAAGTAATTAACATACAACATAATTTGGAAAGTTTATTGGCAAGAGGTTTTTGAAATGATTTCACTTAGCAATGTAACTGGACTTTTAAATCTTCCCGTCAAGTTATTTAGAAATTGTCAATGATTCAAGTCAACCTTCTCAAAATATCCTAAAGATAATTGTGGCACTATACAGTTTTCGTATCTTCATTGGTTGTTTGGTAACTTTCTAGAGATAAATCTAACCCACAGAACAAATAGTGGAAATTTTTTGGCTGATCATGTTTATTGCTTTTGGATTAAAAATTACTTGAGTTACGGGTCATTCAAAAAGAACTAAGGTATGTATTGAGGATACCAGGCACTGTGCTGGGTGCTTGGAATACTAAAAAAGTGTAAATTATTGTCCCCCTGGAAAAGTTGTCAGCTCAGTAAGCAATTATAAGTTGTAAGATTCATTAGTTTATTGGAACTTTTTCTCTTATGCACAGAAACTTTTAAAATGTTTTTGTAGTTTTTAACATCCATTTAATGAAGCTAATTATTTTTCAAAAGTATCTAGCTAATTTTGGTAGCAAAGGAGAGGGCAAGGATATTCAGAGATCATAGTTGTTATGAATAAGCACTAAAGCTATGCCATATGTTAGAATGTTATAAAATAAAGCTAAAAGACGTTGATACATTTGTAAAAACTGCAAATTCAATTGAAATATGGAAAAATTAAGATCAAATAAATTATCATTTTATTAAATAGTAAAAATAAACATACTTAAAGATAAATAATTCAAATTTACGTATCCCAGTGTTTATACAGGTATTAACAAACTTGGGTTCAACTGGTGAAGTATTAAACATATTCAAATATTCCTTCTGTCTAATCATAATGTAAGCAAGTTATATTATGTAAATAATTATCTGTATTCAAACAGCAGACCATCTATTGCTCACGTTCACTAAAGAGATTTTGTATTCTCCTAATGAGAGTTTCTTTACCACTAATAGTGGACATGATGGATTCCTGTAAAGTAATAAAGGTTATGCAATCAGGCCAATGATATTTCTTTTAATCTTAGTTTTCTTCAACTTGTTCTGTCCTTCAATTATTATTGAAGTTCCTTTCTAGTAAATAAATTTCTGAAATTAACATAGAATTAAAAAGCATACTTTAATTAACGGTAGGGAGAGATCTTACAGTTTTTAACATCTTAAAAATTATGTGAATTACGTACAGGTAAATATCTAAAAGCACAAGTCATACATAAAACCAAGATACATTCATTTGAATGAAGAAAGTTAATTTGGGACACCTAATTGTTTCACTTTTGTTAAGATCTGCTTATTTATGTGTTTGTTTATTTAATAGTAGTTCATTTATAGAAATTTAACTGTAGGTTAAATTGGTGCCTGATATCACTGTATTAATGCTAAAATATAGTAATAACTATTGTAGCAACATTCCTCTTTATCCTCATACCCATTAACGTCCCAAGCTCTTGACTCTACAACCAAAGTAGCTCACCTATTTTCATTACCAGTGCTGCCGTCATAATTCAGGCACCAGTTTTCTTATTTTTGCTTATTTTATTTTATTGCATTGCATTGCATTGAAGTAAAACATACAAACGCATTGCCTTTAACTGTACCTATTAAAATGACTTCCTAAATGATTCATTGGCTCCAAGCTATCTCCTCTTCAGCAGATTTGAGCAATTGGTGTCAGAATCACTTTCATATAGTCATGTTCTAATAATGTCATACTCTTCTCCAAACTTCCCATCATTTACTGAAGAAGTTCCTTTTTTGTCTTGTAGCTAAAATCCTCCATCATCTAGCTACAATATGAAATTTTCAACTTGTTTCTCAAAATCACTGTACCTTCTATAACATACGATCTAGCTGCAATAGTGGCAATTTATAGAGTATGCTCAACCTAGAGACAAAATTATTTATTAGAATTTTTTCTATAGGAGTTCCTGATTTTAGAACTTGATCTTAGGATTACAACAGGTAATTTTAAGCTCTATGATAAAATAACAATTTGAGGGAAAACATTTATTTTATAATATTCTGTATTCATAAAATCTTAGTACTTTATACAATGGAGATTAATTATTTAAAGATGAGAATCTCTCTTTTATGAAGTGTGTACATTTTAATATATATATTACATTGTAGTTCTATAAAAACATTCAATTAAATTATATTAATATATGAAAGTAGCATATAATTAATGAAAGATGATTCTATCTTTAAAATGCACTAGGCTGAGGCAGAAGGATTGTTTGAGCCCAAGAGTTAGAGGCTGCAGTGAGATATTATCAGACAACTACACTCCAGCCTGGGCAACAGAGCAAGACTCTTTCTCTAAAACTATACATAATTTTTTCTATAATTCTTGAAGTTTATATATTTTCATCAACAAACATACATACAAACGTTTCATCAGTTCATCATGTAAACCACATGGGGAACTGAGTTCCTTATTCAGTTAATTCTAGTGAGTTAAAAATCTATCAATTCCTTTTTGTTAGTAGATTATTGAATTCAAAATTATAGTTTGCCTCTCTAGCTGACTATTACTCTTATATTTTTGTCATTATTCTTTGTCTTGTTGGCAAATAAGAGAAAACAAAGAATCAAATAAAATATTTGTTCCTAAACTTGTGGGGAAAAGGAGATATTCTTTGAATATTACTGAGCATAGAACCTTGCCCCAGAGACCTAGCCTTCCAATAAGGAGAGCTACCATTGATATTGGGAACTAGACATCTGGCAGAGGTAATGTGCCTTGAGATTTTTGATTAATTAATTCTTAGATATATTTGAAGCTGAATTTGTTGATTCATTCATAGTTGTTAATCAGAGTTCATCACTTTTCTGCTTAGTTTTTTGTTTTTTTTTTACTATTGACTTGTCACATTTTATTCCGTTGCTTTTTTTTTCTTGTTCCTAAGATGCCTCTTTTTTTTTAAATTTATTTATTTTACTTTAGGTGCATACTATATCTGGCATTTCTTCCTATGTTATCCTTTTCCACCCTCTCCTCCCTCCTCACCCACCATTGTCTCTTCCCTACCCCCCCCAACTCTCCCCTGTGTGTGATGCTACTCCATTGTTTATTATGATATATTGTTACCACATTTTAGTCAGTTCACTGGGCTTTCCAAAGAAATTACTATTTAATAAATAGTCAATCTTAAGTATTCTCTTAATGGTGTGTGTGTGTGGGGTGTGTGTGTGTGTGTGTGTGTGTGTGTATTTGCATCCACCTGAGGGGTTGGAGTGTCACAGTTATTATTCTTCTAGTGATTACAGTTGCTTAAAATCTCAGTGTGCATCAGACCATGCATCCTCTTAATTTGGAGGGTTATATACAAAAAAGAACATTGAATTTAGAGCCAGTTAAGATTGATTTTGATTCTGACTCTGCCACTAATAGCATTGTGAATTTGTTTAATACATTTAATCTGCTAGGCTAAATTTCCTTTTGGGAAGAAGAGTGTGTTTATTTGTGCTGTAATTTCTCGCTGTGTTGTTTTCATCTTGAGGAGATCAAGTATACAAGTCCTGTGCATTTACTGAGTAATATTACAAGCAGAATGCCACATATTATTAATTGAAATTGGGTTTCAAATGTTTAAATACAGTAGAATTTTTCCAATGCAGTGTTTATGTGCTAAACTTCTAGGAAGAATATGTTTATTTTGCACCTAAACATTGGAAGATATGAGGAGAAACATATCTAGATAATGATAGATATCAATCAGGTGTAAAGTAAGTTGTTGTTGATTGAGAGACATTGTACCTAATCTAAAATCTGTTTCAGGAACATTGCCATGAGGATATTTACTGCAAAAAATGTTTGGTTTTTTTCCCACATTTTGTACTAATGGTGGAATTTTCACTTTTAATAAAAGAAAGTTATAAATTATTTCAGGGAATTTTTGTTTTATTAAACCTCCTGGTAAATCAAACTGAGTTTTATGGGTTTGCGTGTGCAGGGTATTTTAAAATTTATTCTGGGCACATGATAAATGCCTACTAAAACAACCACTGGTGTTCTAGCTCTCTCTCTCTCTCTCTCTCTTTTCAAACATCATGAAGAATTGTACTCCACAGAATAGCGTTTAGGATGATGTAAACTTAAGAGAGAAATGCATGTACCATCAGTATTTTTCACTGAGACAGTCTAGATAGGATGTCACCCACAGGAGGAGAAACAAACCTTGCAGGGTATGGAAGAAATGAAAACTATAAACTTAAGGAATACAAAGTAACAAATTACCGTTCAATTCAGTAGGGATCTGTAATTCTCCACTGCTCAGGTGCAGATGAAAACTACTCAGGTCAGAATCAAGTTGTTTCTATATTGCTCTATAAATAATGAGCTGTTTGTTTCTATAAGATATAGCTCTATAAGTAATGAGCTCTTCTCGGGTGAGCCAATCACTACCAATTGCCTGTTTAAAATGTCAGAACTGTCAAGGTCAATTGGTGTTCAGCTAATGGCTCTGACCTGGTGTCACGCACAGTCTATAAGTAAAATTTTAAGTCTCAAAAAAGGATTATGTTTGTTTCTAGAGACAATATTTGAATCAACAATGTTTTGGGTACTTCCGTGAAAATGATGCAGGTTGATTTAAAAGGTGTAGACAATTGTCCATTAAAGTAATTACATTAACACATCAGGCTGATTTGAAATCAGTATTGAGGTAGAGTCAGAAT